ATTAATTTTTAGCTATTTTATAAAGCCTTGGAGGTTCGAATAATCAGAGAGGACCTCGATAGGGTACTTACTTTCTTCTAGGTAGTATCGCTATTACTTAAATAAATATATAATAGCGAATAGTTCCTAGTCCGGGGTGCTATAGTTTAGTTCTGCGCTAATAAATTTTCTTAACCAGAACGCTACGGGGTGCTATCGCTCTTTATTATCGGGTTATGATATTATCCCGGCTATCCCTAGGTTAGATACGTTAGTTTTAATTCGGATATATCTTACTAGGTTAAAGAATTTAAGGAGTGGGGCTTACTGAAAGGTATCTATTGGAATATAGACCAATGCTACATAGAAAGATCTATTCTTATATTCAACATATAAGACCAGATTGCATTGATCACGTGACCAGTTTTTTCTTCTATCAAAATGATATGTTGACCACTTCTGATTCTGGTCTGCGGCCCTCCCCCGAACGATAGGCGGGACCATTTTCCGTTAGGAGTAGATGGTCCGCCTTCAGGCATGAATGGTCCGTTCCTTCGGGGGTGCCTTCGGGCATGCCTTGCCCGCGGACTTCGACCATGGTCTTCGGACCTCGGTGAACAGACTTCGACCCTCAGTCCCCCTAAGGATAGGCGGACTACTTTCCCTTAGGGGTAAAATGGTCTACCTTTGGGCATGCATAGCCTGATCCTACGGGGATGCCTTTGGGGTGGCTTAGACCGTCGATCCTTGATATCATTCTTTTCGCTTCTCTTCGGTTCCCTTCTTTGCCACCTTCATTATGTTGCTGCCTAGTGTTTGTACGTCATTTGTATGTCATTCTAGACGTCATTTCTAGGCTATCCTAGCCTATAAATACGTCCTTCTTTTCTAGCAGAGAGAATCAAGTCATTTCTACTTTCCTGAAGTCAGTTCTACTTTCCAAAAGTCATCTCTACCTTCTTCCTTTGATCCTCAGGACTGTGGTTCTGCCTTCGTTTAGGCTATATCTGCTTATAGTCTATCCTACGACCTTTGACTTTCTACCTTTGTCTGGCACCGACTGACCCAGCCGGATTAAGGTTGATCCCACGGACTTAAGGGGCCACGATCTGCTTCGTGGTAGCTTTCCCCTTATATCCTAACAGTATCTTTTAGTTATTAAAACGCTGCCTTTTCGATGTCGTTTAGATCTATATTCCCTTATTTCTTATCGTTCTGGCTTCCCTTTAGAAGGTTAGTAAGAGGGACTATAATAAGGGAGTATCCTTTAATAAAGCGCCAGTAGAAGTTATAGAATCCTAGGAATACTTAGATATTATAGAATATTTTAGGTGTTTCCTAGGACGCGATAGCGGTAACGTATTATAGGTCTATTAAGATGCCTTAGCTACTAATTATAAAGCCGAGGAATTCTACTTAGTCTTAGTAGAATACGTATTTAGATATTTTTGCGTAGAGCTATACTTCCTTTAGCCTCTCGAGGACTTATCGAAGGTATTTCGTGTGTGACTCGTAATCTAATAAGAAGATAAGGATATTATCTAGGTATGCGATACAGATTATATCGAGTAGGCTACGTAACGCGGTGTGAATATAGTTTTGAAAGGTAGCTGGTGCGTTAGTGAGTCTAAATAGTATCACTATATATTTATAGTGGCCGTATCGTGTCCGGAAGGCTATTTTCTATTCTTCGCCCTCTCTTATTCGGATTCGGTAATATATATCCTATATATCGATTTTGCTAAAGTATTTTATACCCGAAAGGCGGTTAAGGATCTCCGAAATAAGGGGTAAAGGATAGCGATTCTTAACTAAGACTTTATTTAATTCTCAGTAGTCTACGCAGAGACATAAACTACCGTCCTTTTTAGGTATAAAGAGGATTAGCGCCCCTACGGGACTCTTAGAGGGTCGGATATATCTATTTACGAGGTTTTCGTCGAGATATCTCCTTAATTCCGCGAGTTCGGTTTGCGAGAGGGGGTATATTAGCCTATAGGGGGGTAATACCCCTTCCTTAAGTTTAATAGTGTGGTTAGTTAACTTTTGTATCAGTAGAATCTTTAACTAATCGGCCGCGAATATATTACGAAATATCTCTAGTTTATCTAATAGTGTTAGTTCGGATATAGTCTCTGTTTCTTTGTTATCCTCTAGAAGCTATATATCTTCTAATATTTAGATCGCGGTATAAATATAGGCTTAGTTTCGGTAGGCCTTAGTAAATTACTATAGGCTAAGTGAGGAGAACTCTTTTGTCTCGAACTATTATTATCGGTCTAATAATAAATAGATTTAAAGGTCTTAAATTATGGTTATCGATAGAAGGATAGGGCTACCTTCTAGGCGTAGGTCCCTATTTATAGCTATATATTATCTTATAAAGCTATAGAGTGTCCCCCTTAAGTCAGTAGCGGTAATAGGGACTTTCTATACCCTATAGGAGATAATCTTCTGATTCGAGATTGCCTAAATAGTTAGAGCGGTGGCCGGGGTATATTCTAGGTTATACTTTTCTGCGAATTAGTAGCTAACTTAATTAACTTCGGCGTAACTGTCTAGGTCCGCGTGTGTGATAAGGGCGTTCTGTACTTAAATTAGGATATAAAAGCGTAAGGTAGTCCCTATCTCGGGGTCTGGAGTTATAGGGGTAGGGCTCACTTTAACTTATTCCCTTTTCCCGAGTTCCTTACGGATTAGATACGCGCGGGGTGTGTGTTTAGTCTGTCTTTGGTGCAGTTTAGGGCAATATAGCTGAATTCGTGGTATCGGTAGTATTAGGGTCCCGATCCTAAGCGTGGTGGGTTTCGGTCTCGGTTCGTGGTCGATCTATATATATTATTTAAGTTATAATAGCCGCGGCTTTCCTAGAAGCGTGAGGAACCTAGCTAGGTCTTTAAGGGTTATTACTCCTTATATCTTTAGGAGGCGTTATCCTTTCTTTGGTTATACGTATATCTGGATTATGCGAGGCGTCCTAGTAGGCGTTAATACTCTTAGGTTTTGTCGGCGAATCGGCGATATTTCTTAGCTATTTAGAGTAGGTTCCAGAAATATCCCGCTTCACTTACTATAGTATCGCGTATCTCTAGTAGTTATCCTCTGGGGAGATATTCGCTTATATAATAGCGAAGGGCTAGGTTAAGCTTAGAGTAATAGAATATTATACTATCCTTTTCGCTTTTCTATTTAAAATATTATTCTAGGCTATCTAGATAGGTATAGAATTAATCCGGATTATCTTATAGCCTTTAGCGTGCCTAGCTAAGGCTAACACTAATATCGGCCCGTAAGGTAGCTATATTATATAGGAGAGTAGTCGTCTAGTCTTTAAAAGCTATCTATAAGCTCTTAAGCTCTTATTATTCCTCTATAGGCTTTATACCTATATATTATAGCTATCTTTAGTAACAGTCGTATTCTATTATTACTATGCTAGCGAATACCTTTTCTCGGTCTATAGAGTATCGTTTTAGGTCGGCTTCGAATTAATATCTAAGGTCAAGAATCTACTCTTAATATTTCCGGAGGTTAAAGTCCTTTAAAAAGGAAGGGATATCTTTGATTTTAATACCCTTTTTGTCGTTACTCGCGGTCGATTCGTCTTTATTTTATAGCTAGGTCCTTATCTTAACTAGCACGGTTCGGTCCCCTTTAAGCTCCCGAATATGTTTAAGGAGACGGATTTTCTTATTAAGGCGTTCGATTTTATCTTCGATAGTTTAGCTGTCGTTTCGGAGTTCTCCACGGGTCGCTTAATATCCGCGTAGGTCCCCTGGAAGTGGTTCGTATTATAGCGGGTCAGGAGAAATTGACTCGGTTTAGTTTAGTCCCGGGGTCAAATCGGTAGCGTCTCTACGCTAGGACGTAGCAGTAGCCTCGTGCGATATAGGCGTGTCGTCGCCTTCGGTAGCGACGCGGGAGCGGAGGACACGGTCGTTAACAGATATAATTCCTTAGGTAACCGATAAAAGAAGAATCAGAATTATAAAGGATCTATGTATTCAGGATAGAAAGCCTGTCGGTTAGGTAAGGAAGGATATCTGGACTAGGTGTAGTATTGTAGAAGCAAGACTGATTCTTGCTAAGTCTAGATTAATTGGAAACCCTCTCGATTTAAGTACGAATTGGGTCCGAGACTTGCTTATTCCACTGCGGGGCAACCCTTCACCGCTAGTCCTCAGTATTCCTTTACACTCAATTAGCGTAGCCAGATCTAGACATTGACATGGGCCGTCCATGGACAAAAAGTCCGGCCCACGGCCCGTCCATGGGCAGCCCACGTATGGACAGCGAAGTCCGGCCCGTCCATGGGCCGCCCATGGGCGCCCATGGGCCGGCCCATCGACACCTAATCCTGCCTGATTAAGGATTTTCGGCCTTATTTGGCCTGATTTGGCCTTAAATCTTTGCATAATTCTTAGCTTATTTACCGTTTCTTACCGTGGTTCTGGTCTAAACGCACACCATTCCCTCTTTTTTTGTCCTTCCCTAATGTATTTATATGAAATATTATCGTTTATACCTAGATTAGTACGGTTTGTATCGGTCGCATAAGGAGGACTAGTTAAAATCGTCTATATTGGGGTAGTTGTGTTTATTTCGGTAGTGTAGAATAGAAATATATATTTTCTGTAGGCAAGTGTACTACCACTTTCCGCTAGAGATTCTTCTTTAATTTTAATTCACCCAAATTTCAATATTAAGCTATGATAATTTCTGTACGTACTACTAATATATATCTCTACTTAATCTCCTAGTTTGAGAGCTTATACAATTGATTTGCATGAGTACTGAAGGTAAAGACCAAATATTTGACGGACTTGGAGAAATTGATTCTGCAGAATAGGTGTGTGGGTCTAGGGTCAAAGGTTTAGACCAATGATATCAGATAAAAGGGTCCACTCGCACGCGTTATAACCAATTAACGCGTGTCTAGCCCTTAGGCTTTAGGCCGCTATTTGTTCTATGGTTCTCTTTCTCCTCACTTTGCCCTTACTTTTGCGTTAATTCGCGTTATTATGGCTAGATCTTTGTCTGAACACTTCGATTCTATCACGAGTGATGGTATCGAGTCTATCGACCCTCTTCTATCTGATTGTTGCTTCTCTATCCCGCCCTCCTCGGCCCCTAGAAGCCAGTTAACCGCGCCTGTTACTACTGAGCCCCTACCCTTCCTTAAACGCGTCGGGCCTCAGCTGAATCATATCGTTTGGACCGAAATAAATAAGGATATCTTTATCTAATGGTGGCTTACTATAACATATAGGGCAAAGCTATAGGCAGAGCATCCTCGTTGGGGTAAAAGGGGCTTAACTTCTGAGGTTTGGCAATATTTTGAGCAAGGCGCAGAGATTAAGACGGGCTATCTGTGTGTGTCTTGTAAAAGCTGTGGTCTAATACTTACTTACCTATCTCGAAACGGGACAAATGCTATATTAAGGTATAGAGAAAGGTATCTACCGAAGGGTAAGCAGAGACAGGGAAATATTAAGGTATTTATTAATAGCCAGGTAAGACAAAAGTGAAAGAGAAGTGAAAGCAAAGTGAAAGAGAAATAAGACTAATACTCCTTTGTTTAATCCCTAGGCTCTACGCGCTCCCCCGCCCGACGTATGGGACGAAAACGATTGGAAGAAGTAGCTTTTGGTCACAATTACAAGCCTTCGTCTACTATTCCAGATTATCGAAAACTAGCACTTCCGAGACCTTTTACGCTTAACCTAATAAGCCCCTTCCCTCCCTATCCTCTAGATAGGTAAAACCCTTACTCGTTAGCTTCAAAGCACTGTCTAGGTCTAGTAGTAAGGTATACTAAAGACGCTTCCGTCGGACGCAAAGCTATCACTTACACTTGACTGCTGGACGTCGCCCTTTTATCAGGCGTTTATAGCGATTACTGGTTATTTTCTTAATAAATAATAGGAAATATAGGCAGATCCTACTCGGTTTCGAACCCTTAGAGGGTATATATACTGGGGAGAACCTTGCTTTGGCCCTATGTGCTATTATTGACAGATATAGGATTAAAGACCAAATTCTGGCTATCACCACTAATAATACGTCAAACAATAAGACAATGTTTAATAAGGTCCAACGGACCTATCCAGATATCTCTATTGTTCATATTCCGTGTATGGCGTATATGATTTAGCTTAGCCTTAATAAGCTCCTACATCGGATCAAAGCAAAGCCAAAGAACGACACGGTGGATATAGTGTGGACCGATAAGCTACAAAAGGCTTCTACCTAGCGAGGACAGAAAGGGGATATTGCAAACACCCTCGATAGGGTACGCCGGCTTACAATATATATTAACGGAAGCCCACAAAGGCGTGCGGAATTCCTCAGGCTTCAATCGATGGAACCTAGCTAATTAGTCCCTATTCAGGACGTCCGAACTCGGTGGAACTCCACCTATCTGATATTATAAAGGGCTAAACGACTATAGCCCTACTTTAATAGGTATTGCTATATTAAGTGCCTAGACAACCTAAAGCTTGATTTAGAGGAATGGCGACAGGTTAACTATCTTCTTTGCCTCACAAGACCATTCTTCCTATACATAAGCACGTTCTCAAAGACAAAAGACGTGACTATTCATCAGGTGTTTAAGCTTTATAATGAGCTGTTTAAATACCTTAAGGCGTTAATCAGTTAACTTAAAAAAAAGAAGGTACGCTCTCACTTTTCTCTCACTTTTCTCTCACTCTCTTTTTAACGAATATCAGATTAAATGGAAGCAACAGATGCTTGTCGCTCTTGAAGCAGGCCTACAGAAGCTCCGCGAGTACTACGCAAAGACCGACCAGCCTAAGGCTAGTAATGTGTATGCGCATAGCACTATCCTCGCACCGAAGGATAAGTTACAGTACTTTAAACGCAAGGAATGGTCTGGTGGGCCAGAGGGCTCCGGTCAGACATAGGCCGAACACTATCACAGCACCCTTCAAGATCGGATTAAAGCTTATTAATTCGAAGAGGATAACACCCTTCTATCTGAAGCTTATACATAAGGGTCGGAGCTTAATCGGTTACTCGAAGATAAAGGTGAATCTAACCTAGATCGGGATAAACTCGCACGGTATCTTCAAGCCGGTAAGCCTCTCAATTTAAGTCTCCTTCACTCCCCTTTTAAGTCAGCTCGACTCCTCTTTTCAGTCAGACCGACTCCTCCCCTAAGTTAGGTCGACTCCTCTCGCAAGTCTGATTAACTTCTCTTATAAGCTTAATTCCTTATATTCTTAAGTCTAAGCGACTCCTCCCCCGAGCCTGATCGACTCCTCCCCCCGAGCCTGATCGACTCCTCCCCCGAGCCTGATCGACTCCTCCCCCGAGCCTGATCGACTCCTCCCCCGAGCCTGATCGACTCCTCCCCTGAGTCCGATTGACTCCTATTTTAAGGCTTCCTCGCTTGATATTAAGCCTCTTTGCCCTTTTTTCTCACTTCTCTTTCTCTCTAGGTATTATACGTACTAGCCCTCAGGCCTTCTGGAGGGACTATCAAGTTGAATACCCTACCCTCGCACGGGTAGCCCGTGATATCTTCTCTATCCCCGCCACTGGTGCGGGGGTAGAGAGGCTATTTAATTCAGCCCGCGATATTTGTCATTATCGCAGAGGTCGTCTGAACTCAATAACTATCTAGGATCTAATAATGTTCTCTTGCCTTACTCAGTTTGAGATAGAAGACGAACAGCTTAAACTAGCTCGGGCTCTAGAGGTCCCTAAAGAAGGTGAAAATAAGAAGATTTCACCTACGTTAGAAGGGATTGATCCAATCAGCGATACTGAGGAAGGTGAGGATGAAGTTAGGCTATCTGTGAGGGCAGGGAAGAGACGAAAGAGTGTTTTGTCTGATCATGAGAGTGAGCAAAGTGATGATAATGATAGTGGTTTACCCTTAATGAGCCAAGTACGGCATTCTGGAAGGGCAAGGAAGGCGCCGAGGATACATGAAGGGTTTAAAATTAGTAGATAGTTTAGTATTTAAATAATCTTCACTTTATCCTCACTTTATCTTCAGTTCCTGATCTGATCCGATACTGTTGTATCTAAAATATTACCACTCTAATACTTTAAATACTACATAAGTTATACATATTATGTCTTTTGGTATCATGGGCCGCCAAGAGGCCCATGGGCCGGCCCGTCCATGGACAGACAAAGTCGGCCCGTCCATGGGCAAGGAGGATTGTCCAGGACCCGTCCATGGACGGGCCGGGCCGGCCCATATGGGCCGGCCCATGGGCCATGTCAATGTCTACATATACGTACTGTAAATTGCCAGATTTCCATCAAAGTAATAGAGAATTTTGCGTCGAACCCTCTGAGCCCTGCCCTTTAGGACGAATGAAGAGAGACTCCGCTCGTATGGCATCCAGCCACTCAGAGGGCGTTTTGCCTGGGATCTGCACACAGCCCTTAAGAAAGATTTTGCGACCGTCAACTTTTTCTGGCCATGCCCGTAAGAGAATTGGTCCCTTTGGTGATACCGGACGTATGAAGGACGTGTTGAGGTATGCTGTAAATGCTGGGCCGCAGCCAGCGACCACCCAGTCTGGCGGCCTACAGCAATCGGCGAGGACTCGGTCCAGCAAGAAGGAGGCGTAGCCTCCGAATAACTTCCTCTCATAATAACACATCTGTTGAGAAGGATTCAACATCAGAAGGGCTTCCACCTCACATCCCAGGCGATGTCTTCTGAAGGTGGGATGATAGCCATCGAATAAGGAACGCATTGTTTGTTCCCCGCAGGGGCAATGCTGGATGCATTTGGTTGAGGCTGGACATGGTCAGAATTATGTTCTGGTTGCTTATGATCAAACCGTACCGCTGGAACTGCTGGCAAACCGTCTCTTGCTCCTTCTCCCAGAGAACGACTTGACTTGTATGTTTCCGCCAGGCAGTGGTATCCACGAAAGAATCGAAGGAAAGTGGAGGACAAGGAACGATGGATCATTTTTCTTGGATATCGAGAGGAAACTTGATGCGCAACGATAGCATTCATTCCCTCTCACATTCTGACAGGGCATATAAAAATCATGGAAACTTCTCGGACTCATCGGGAACTGAAATTTGATGATTTCAGCATCGTGTTTTATTCAACGGTTATGCCAACTTTGGTTTAATAATTCTGCATGCAATGTTGTGTGGGAGAGGAGATAGTGTATGCAATAATCATTCTTCCGCGTTTCAATTCGAATGTAAAAGCTTTGAATCGAACATTAGGCCGCAGAATTCCTAACCGGGGAAAAGTGAGCGGTTATTCAGTCATAACGCGTTATTACTTTACTTGCTTTTTCCCACTTACAGCTCGGTGTTGCGGAAGGCGTCAGACAAACATTGCGACATTCTATTGGTCGTTTATTCCCGGTACCCCCAAAAATGGCTGGTTAAAAAGACCGGTAGGTCATGTTCTCGATCATAGCAATCACAATATGTAATGTGTGTTTTCTCATAATGTGCACTTGAAACCGCAAGAACGCAGTGGTCTCTTCAAGCGGTATGTCCAGTGTGTTTATATCTGGAATTATCTGGAAAATAAGTTCAACAAGAACAAATTATACACCGTGGGACTAGGATTATTGCTAGCTCCACCTTACAGGTATCTACAATGTCAAATTATTCGATTATATTGTAATTTCATAGTGAGAGCATCGAATTATTACAACAATATTGATGGGTATTTCTCCTACATTGTGTGAAGGGCGATGAACGAACTTGAGCGTTTGACAGGTCAGTACCTTCAGGCGTTTACCCTTTGCATAAAGTCCGGTTAGCTGATTCTTGTAGATTACCAGTTCCCTGTTAATTGGGACATTAAACGGGATAAGATGAAGGGTAACACAAAAAAGAATATCTAGACAATATGGAGGAATATTTGCTCATGCTTGGTTGAAGAACTCGGAGAGCGAGTGCACGTGTTCATTACTAGGTTAAGAATCGCTTAGCGCGTTTCCGAGAAGGATTCGAGATAGAACATGTCAAAGAGAAGTGACGAAACTGATTCCGAGCGACATCTGGCGACCTGGAATCAAGCTGAGCGAATGATCTGGCTATAGACAAGGGATACTTACCCGTAACAAAGCTCTCACTGGACCCCAAATGAAATGTATTGGCTCAGTTGTGCCCAGAATACTGTCGAGGACATGTTCAAGCTGTTCCATCCGTCTAATGAAATGTTCAATACGTCTCAGATTTTGCAGTGTTCCCTCTCTTTCCTGTGCATCCTGGATTCTCTTTAATTCTCCTTTGAGGGCACCAAGATTCGTTGTTCGAAAGTAATTCACTTTGTCCGTATCAAATCTTTCCTCGAAGCTCTTTAATATCCTGTGCAGAACATCTTTGAGGAGAGAATCGTCGACTGCACAGAATGATTGAAGTTCTGGTCTGTCTTGTGAGAAAGTTGAAATCTGGGAACCATACTCAAAGCGATCTGGAAGTCTGTTAGTTGTCATATGCCCTCCTTGTGCAGAAGTCACCGGAAGGGCGCCAGGATACGTCCAGGCAGCAGCCACCCTTAAGAATGAAACAGAGGTAGTGGTCGAAGCTTACAGTCAGGTATTTCGGGCTCCGAGGGCCTGTCATGGGGAACATACTGCCCCAAAACTTCCTTTGCGACGGAAGCGGCAACTGCAGCGGCATACTCTTGCCATATCTTGTTCTTGTGACTGTCGGCGTAATCACATACGCCTTTGATGATCAGACAATTGAACTTACCCCACACTCCGGCTCCTTCCATCTCGAAGGCTATGACCAATTCCGACTCCGCATGCTCATCTCTATGCTTGGCTGATTTCATGACCGTGTTTGCAGTGCCGATGGATCCAAAGTGGATAAGATGAGTTGACATAGTATTGTTGGCTCCGATTGCAGACAGTCGGAAGCGCGGTACCAGTCGGCTCGCATCACATCCAAGTTCCTCACAGGAGGCTGTCAAGGCTGCATCACAGACTGATCCCGAGATCTCAAACGCGTTGCACTCTTGGCATCCAGAGTGATGTTTGTGGATGTAATCCGAGTCGAACAGCTTGTCCTCAGATGCAGCAGGATAACTCGTTTTGATTTTCTCATGTCGCAGCAGGGCCCTAAGGTGCTGCATCATGCCCTTGTGTACCTCGTCTAGCAGTAGGGGAGTTTTCAAGGAGTGTAATAGCCCGAGGATCTCCTCGTTTGGTCTTCCAGGTACGTCCAATATCGTATCCTTTCGCCGTCTGAACCCGCTGGGGTATAGACGGCCATAATCCAGCTCAACAAGAATCTCGCTGATGATGACATCGCCCAGAAGAATCTCCGTCCCGTCGCTTTTGTGAGGAAGTGCGCCACAGATCCCAACGAGAAGCACGAGCTCAATAGATGTGAAGCTCATTCCAAGAGATCGGGCAGCGCTGGATGCTTCTACTGTTCCAATCCTAGGTAGCGGCACAACGACTACCGCGTGTCTTCCGCTCCGTCCGAACGCGTAGTTAGTCGTGTCTCCAGCTGCCCGACCGTAGTGATGAGGTGCATCGTGCCAGATCTCGTCCAAGGAACAAAGAACAGCATTGGTTTCGAGCGGTAAGGCGCAGATGATGGCGATTGAAGTCTTTGCGACTCAACGGACGGCCCTGACCGACCATAGTTGTATAATGCTGGAAGTCGAGGCCTGTGCAAGCTTGAAAGGCGAATTATCGGGGCTCTCGTTGCAACGCATTCTGGGATTAAGTGGCAGTGCTGAAGAAGTAAGCAAGGCTGAGCGGGGTTTGCTTTGTGGTGACGACCAGCCATCAGGCGCACATGATTTGGGATAATTCAATAGCATATTCATGCTATCACCCTGAAGATCCACTGTCAGCATGTCCGGCACATCTGAACTGACACGGTAGCTTAAGCTGTAGAGACCGCGTGTAGCTTGTATCTGTCCTAGGTCTTTACACAAGTCGACCACGGTGTTGTAACGGTACCTTACTTGAAAATCCGAAGCGGCACGGCACGCATGTAAGTGTTATAGCCTTATAGGTACTCGTGAGGTATCAACGCCACTTGACTGTTCTGCATTAGGTCCTTCACCGCTGCAGCCCACAAACCAGATTGGACGCGCTGTGGGGATCTCATATGGGGAGCCTTGCGCATCTTAGCCACCAAGGCTCCTGATATGCAGGCGCCCTGGTCGAGTACATTCTCAAAGTCAAGGCACGTCTCAAGACGGAAAAGGATATCTCATCCAAGAAAATGCTGATGCGGCTCTCGTAGACGCTGAGCTGAACAAGGCTGCGTTATTTGGTCTGATTCCTCACTCCGCTGACTCCGCTGATTAGAGTGGCATAACCGGACCGCTAAAATCGAATCCAACCCTCATTGAACCCGCTGAGGGTTGGGTTCAGGGCCTAGCCTAGGGAATCGCTTCGGTTTCGGTTTCCTTACCCCCAGCCCGATTCGGATTCGGTTAATCTGAACGGTTAAGGTTTTATCGGATTCATTGGGTTAGGGGAACCAACCCACCCCATTTTATCTAGAAATCACTATTTTCTAGGATTTTCCTATTAAATGTAATATCAGTACATAGCCCTAAATCTAGGCTATCTAAATATATAGATAATAATTTATAATACCTAGTGGCTGTGGAGATATAAGGAAATAATTGTTTCTGTCACAGGTTGGTATGAAAGTGGTGTAGAGATATGTATATATGCAACCAATGGTTGACAACCACTATGATTTAAAAATGATTTTTTAACCATCACCCATTCAACCATTTAGATATCGAAGTAGAATTTTAGATATGGATTAGTTTGATGATAATCAGTATATATTTTATATAAAAATGATAATTTATATAAGCATGTTCAATAGGCCCTAGTCATAGATTCAATATCCCTACTATTGTCACGGTGCTGTATGTGTGTGTATATATTTAACGGCCGTGGGTCGTGACAGGCACGCTTCCCACCGTTCCCTATTGGGACAAAGGCCGCCAGGGGGTAAGCCCTGGGCTTCTAAATCTATAGTTCTATGTACAGATTTTCAAAAAAAACAAGAAAGAGGCTCTCTGGCGCATTTACATAGCTGCCGTGACCAAAAAGGGGGGGCCCTGCGGGTGCAGGTTGTGCGTTAATGCCAGCTGCATTGGTCCACCTAGACGCCATGACCAGTCCTACCACCTCTACATCTTTTTTTTTTTTAAGGAATATAAAAATAAAGGAAAAGTTACAAAGGAGATGGGGGGCCAGCTTAGCTTGTGCTAAGATGGGGGGTGGCGGGGGCAGATATCTTCGAAGAACCGAGTCTCTGTGAGCCAGGAGGCGAGTCTGATTGCACCCTTTTTGGTCCCTAGTAGAAAGGGTATGATTTCAGAGGGAGGCCCGGCAGGGCGAGGAGCCCGTCTCTTGGCAATTCGGCAGAAGAAGAAATGAATAGGTGTCTTCCTTGCACCGCAGCGGCAGAAGAGGTAGGCATCTGCATGATTGAAGCGTTCGTGGTAGTCTGCAAAATCTCCATGTCCTGTGCGGGCTGCAAGGATAAGCCCAAGGAGACGGCGGGGGAGATGAAGCTCGCCTAGGTGTCTCGGGGAGGAGGTAATCCCAAGATCTTGGTAAGACTGTGGAGCAGTAGACGTCCAGTTAGATTGCGTAGCAGACATGGCACTGGCTTTCGCTTGTCTCTTTAGTGACGCATAAGAATGCTCAATCATGGGAGGAGTATCCAAGGCAGCACCTTCTTTGGCGGCATGATCAGCTACCTCATTTTCTGGGATATGAGTATGTCCAATTGTCACGGTGCTGCCGTGGATAGGAGTTGGCATCGCTAAGGAGGAATCACGTGACCTTGGGAATATCTTCGCACAATTCTGCAACCTGTTTGAAGCTCTTTGAGCTACGTCCTGTCTATAGAGCCTACCCGTGCCAGCCTACCTGCAGACTGGGACTGTTAGATAAGGATTAGTGAAGCTAGCCTAAGTGTCAACTACCTCTTTAACCCATCCTTGCCTGCCTGCGAGCCTGCACCTTGACAACTATATAATGATTTGAACCCCTACTATACGACGATGCGAATCATTTGATATCCATACTATATGGTGATTTGAACCATTCAATATCCCTACTATATAGGGTCTATTACTATATATTCCATATAAAAATATTAGTTTTCTATAAGCATGCTAGATAGGCTATAGGTATAGTGGTGTGTGTGGTAGCTCTAGTAGTAGTGTGGCGGAAGGTAATCATCATATAATTTTATTTTGGCTGGTTTGTTGTCAACCAGAATATGCACTATCATTTCTACTAGCTAGAAATGGTCGTCTAGACACCTTTTTGGCTTAGTGGTTTGATGGTTGATATTTGTTGATGCAGTCCGCTGTATGTGGTCATGGCCATGGCAAGCCGCTGATGACTCTTACATGCGAAAGTTCGACATCGACACCGGTGCCACCATCGTAATGCTGGACAGTGAATTGAGCACCGTTGGTGCTGCCGCCGCCACCGCCCGTATACTCAAAGTTCATCACCCCGTTCTCAAACAGCACCAGCTCGGTGGGGCTCACGATGATAGAAACTGTCACATAGTCACCGCTGCCCACGCGAAAGGCCGTCTTGTTCGATAGAGGAATCCAGTCCCATGGAGTCGGTAGCTGCCATTGTGGCGCGCCACCGACCACGCGCATGGTGATGTTCGCGCATAGGGTTACCTTCGTTTCGTAGCCCTCGGACTTATTAATGCGGAAGCGGTACTGGATTGCGCAATAGGGGCCGAGCCCTGCCATGAGACCGCTAATGGCAGTGTAGTTTTGTCTAAATGGAAGGGACACGAGATCAGCCTACAATCCTTTGCAGAGAAAGAGGATAGAACATACATGGATAACGAGGACGTGGCAAACTGAAGCGACCCCTGGCTCGTATAGTTGACAGGAATCGCAGTGTTCTGCCGGATCTGATACCATTGCGTGTTGATCTGCTGTGACGATTGGTTGAAAAGCACCTCAACTCGTCGTGACAAGGCCGAGAAATCTGTATGCAATGTCCCTGGACATGTCACGCACTCAGCTACGTCGGCATCAAAGGCCGCGGCATCGTCAAAGACCTGGAAGCCAATCGTGAAGGCAGCCATGTTCGTCAGCGGCCGCCGGTCGGTTGCCACGACGAGATGACCGTCTTCATAGATGCGCATCGCTGTGGGTGATAGGTACACGCATACAAAATGCCATGCGCCATCGGCCTTGACGGTTGACTGCGTGACGTTAGTGTATGCGTTGTCCTTGGAATAGTCCATCGTGGTCCAGAATGTGCTGCCCTGAAAATAGCGCAGGATCACCATCTCATGCCGTGAGAATTGCGTGATTCCTGGGAGAAGCATCTGAACCTCGGACGCCTGCGCGAGCACATTCCACCGTATGCGGAAGTGATAGATCATCTCAACGCCCATATCCAGCGCGGGCAGGCTCCACCCTGCGCTGGCGTACTGATATCCGACTGCCTGCTTCGGATCCTTGACGAATTTGATGCTGTTGCCGGCCGCTGCGACTTGCACTTGGACGCTCGCCTGCTCCTGGATCGCAAACGAAGGCGGAGGCTGGTTGGGCACGTAGACTGCCAATGCCTTTGCGGCATCGCACGAGCTGAACACGTACTGGGAGCCGACATTGGGGGGCGGCAGCACCTTTGCACCCCGGTACGTGATCGTCACTGGCCAGCTACCCTCAATGCGGAAGGCCGTCAGGACATTGAAGACGCCTATTTGAGTCGCGTCCACTGTGACGCGGAATGCAGGCGGTAATTCGATCGGTAGGCCGGGCGAGCCGGCATTTACCACCACCAAGTCCGTTGCAGACACCGGAGTGGGAGGATCGGTGAGGACCAAAAAGGAGCCCGCAAAAGTTCCCAAATCGGACGTAGCAAAGTACACATCACTGATTCCCACCGCAGTGGCAACAGGCGTGGCCGGCGGGGCGTCGTTGACACTCACTGTAAAGGGGCTTCCAATGACGACAGCCGCACAATCGACCAAGATGCGTAGCGCATAGTCCCCTGTTGGCATCGTGCTCGCAATCGTGTAGGTACCCTGCACGGTGCCCATAGCAGGTGGGGACGTCGGTTTGAAGGTCACTGGAACTGCAGTAAGCACAGTTGTCGACTTGGGATAAATCATGGCAGCTATGAGGAAGCCAGAGATGTCCACAGGGAGCCCCTGAGCGTTTTTGGCCGATAGTACGAACTCCGACTGCACGCCCAGCGACGACGTCTCGATCCCAGCCTCGCTGGCCGTAAAGGTGATGACATTTGCTGGCAATGAGAACGGCGAGCCATGGATTGCCAAGTTGTTGACGAGAACATTGATCTTCATGGCAACTGCGTTCGGAATGTATCTCACCAAATACGTCCCATCCCGTCGATCGCGAATATTGAGCACCACGAATGGCCAGTCAGGACCGGAATCCGCCGACGTAATCTTCACCTGGTCGCCACCAACGCGGCGTGCATTGCCGGTAGCATCAACAGCGGTGATGATGAAGCTTGAGATTTCATCCACTTGGTGTGAGAGCCATTGAGAGACCCGACAATTGGCCGGCACGGTTGGCGACGTGCTTGTCAGAGCGTACGGACTTCCCGAGATATCGGCGTCGTTGAGAAGAACTCGTACCAGATCATTTGCCTGTAGTGGGCTCGCTGTCGGAATCGCGTATGTGACGCGGCGGCCACGGCCATGTGGAGTAATGGTGACCTGGGCCTCGTCCTTCATGAACACAAGGAACGATGTGGTGTCCATGGCGGACATGGCGAACATTTTCCCGTACTGATCGAGCGGAACAACGTCGAAATACGTGGTTGCCGGCTTGGAGGCAGGAGGGAGCGACAGACCAGGTCCGAAGCATCGCGCGTCGGCAATGTAAGGAGGAACGGTGACGTTGACGGTCACCGGGCCTTGGCCGACGATGACGGTACCATCTGCTGATGTCGCGTTGACTTGATATTGGCCGAGATCAGGCAATGATAGCGTTGCAAAACATGTCCCATCGCCTCTGTCGGACAAGGGCCAGGAGGTTGGTGTGCCGGAGCTTCCTAAGGTCGTGGTGATTCTGAAGGCAGCTGCGATGGAAGTGGCTCGCCATAGGCCAGGTTCAGATAGATTATCGTATGCCGTGATAGTTGCCACGATGTTGGAAGTCTGGTAATATGGACCAGCGCTGAGACTCACAAATGAGTTGGCAACAGAGAGGTTCACCACGGCCGCCGTTGCCTGGAGTTGGATTGGGTAAGCAGGCAGCAGCTCACCATTGACGGAGATCTTGAGTATGTACGCCCCAGTCGTGGCCGGCCGGGTGTATGTGAAGTGGTATTGATTACCGGCTTGCAAAGCCACGAGGTTGACGGTCGTTCCATCTACGGCAGTGTAGGACGCGGTACAAGTCATGTCTCCTACCCAAGCCTGGCCCATCTGATCATTGAGGAAGACGTCGAACGAAGTGTCGGCTCCGGCCAGACCTGAGCACAGTCCTGGGCCGCCAGCGATGCAGCGATTCAGACCGACAACGCGAATGGACGTGAACATGGCCGGAGAGCCGGACAGCTGGGGGCCGCCTTCGTTGAGCAGCGTAGCTCTGATCGTGTAGCTGGCGCCGACCTGCGGCGGGAGCACAAATGCAACTTTGACGCAATCATTATAGAGGACGAAGCTGACATGTTCCAAGGGTGGAGTGAATTCGACGCTGAAGGACTCGCTCTCATCGTAGCCTAGACGCGGGTTGTTGAAGTTATCGCGAGGCCAGATCGTGGCGTAGTTCATGACACCGGCCAGCAAATTTTCCGACACATCCAGGATGGAGTTCTCAGCGCTCAAGACGGCCGCCATGTTCGTGACCATAACAGTGGCGTCTTGTGAGTACCCTGCCGGCAGGCCTGGCAAGGCGACAGGATAGGAAACGTGTATCGTGTAATCCCCCAGGGTGGCAGGTCGCACGTAGGAAACCACATATCCGCCCCTGCTGATGCCTGTGAAGGTATTGATAGTGCTCAATATGACGCCGTTTTGGACGATTTTCACTGTTAGCTGGGTGCTGTCGATGGGCAGCGTGCGACCGAGTCGGTCTTTGGGGAAGACGGTAACATTGACTTCCTCGCTGGCAATGCCGTTCGAAAGGCCCGGCCCGCCGAACACCCATGAGTATGCGCCGGGCTTGCTGACGCTGTTGCGATCTGTGTTGTCATCAGTCTTATCACCGCCGTTACCGTCATTGTCATCGTCATCATCGTCGTCGCCGTAACCGAACACTTTCTTAATGGCTTTCCACACCTGGCTGACCGATCTGGTAATAGCCACGAGCTACAAGCAGTTATGTTCAGATTGATGCACTCATGAACTAAGGAGGGGATCACTCACCGCTGTGCCGACGGCCAAAGCCTCACCAGCTCCTACAATATCCAGCATGATCTCACAAATAGTCACAAGGTCCTTGAAGAGCTCGTACAGCTTCTTGCACATCTTATAGATCTGGTCGATATCATATCCGAAGATCTTGAGCGGCCCATCGGGCAAACCATACGAAACAGGGATGTGGATGCCAGCCACAACCGCATCGCCCGATACAACGCCCGAGGCATCTAGGCGACTTGATGCCCGTGAGATGTCAACTGTCAGCGTCGGCTGCTGGATGCTCGCAATGTTCGGGTAGTCGTCAAACAAGTTCCAGTCGTTCGTTTGTCCCGTGAAATGGGCACGGCCGGTCTTCCAGTTCATGGAGAAGTACAGGCTCTTGATACCGGGGAAGAAGTCGATGTCGAGCGTCCAGCGGCCTGCAGTTGCGATGTAGAAGATGTCGAAGATGGAGCAATTCAGTCGGACTGTGAGCGTCATGTAGTCCAGCGTTGCGGCCAGGTCCACCGTCACACTGTCATCGTACGAGCCGTCTTGCTTCCGGTAGCGGATGTCGCTATGGAGGGTGGCATTAAACAACCAGGAGGATGATGGCATCGACTGCAGCGTCAGCGTCAGTTTAAGTTTCGTCATGCTGAGGATGCCCTGGACAATGGCCCATTCCTGGTCGGTCTCCACAATTGCAGTGATAGTGTCCAAAGCGTACGTGTTGTTCTGCTGCCGGAATGCCAGTGTTGCCTTGGCGAAAGTGCCTGTTTTGTAGGCATCGAGTGATGTGTTGCTGGCGAAATTCGGGGCTTTTAGAGCCGAATTGTCGAGGCCGCCGTCGACGAACACACCCACGAGTTTCTGGAGATCCTGGGCCCCTGCAACGGTTATGTGGACGGCTGACCCTGCCAACTGTGCCGTGATGCCGAAGGCGGCGCCGGATACAACGGCGACGCCATTGAACGAAACGCTCGTGGTCATTGATCCCGGCACATCAATCATGGTAAAGCTAGCCGACAGCCATAGACGAGCAACTGTGAGCTGGTGGCCCGTTTGGCCGACCACCCACTGGTCTGCGGCCGTGCCGGCGTACAAGTTGAAGTCAACCTGCGTGAGCTTCCAATTGCCCTGCGAGTCCTTTCGGAAGTAGATGTCGAGGGCGAACCGAGCACTGGACGTGGCAGGATCCAAGGGCCACGACTGAGGAAGGCTGAAAGTGCTTGCCGCTCCCACGAGCGAATTCAGCAGGCTCTTCCCTTGTCCCTGGGCGCCTCCAGCTGCCACTTGGACAGCCACTCTACACCAGCCTGCTTTCTGAGGATCGTCGAGGGCAGTGAGTAACTGGACGCCGGCTTCGAAATTCGCACTGTTCTCAATGCTCACCAGGCCATACGCTACAAGACCATAGGTCGGAGTTGTTGCGGGATTGTCGATATTGAGATCCAGAGACGCATAGGTCATCACCACCAGTGGCGAGTTTTTGATAATGCTCCATTGTAGACTTTGTTGAACTAAACGAAAAGTCATTCGACGTAGAGTGTAACTAGCGATGCTGGAGGAACTCTTGTTCAAGTGCAGCATGCAAACTAGCTGATCGCTTGAGGTACTGGTCAGCGCACCGGGCGTGATAGGATATCCATCTGCCGCAGGTTAGTGAGCATGAACAAGATGGCGCGCAGAAAGCAGGGATAAATCCACTGTACCTGGAAGCTTGTTCGATAGTTGAGACTGGTCAATCGCCTTACCGCCAAATGGTGCTAGTGTGGCGATGGTGGTTGGAGGTGGTGCGGTACCAGACGAAGTTGCAGCGATGCTGAAGGTCAAGCTGTAGCTCAAGGGAGCAGCCGGGCTTCGTGCCACGTAGCCCAGCAAGGACACAGTGTACACCATATTGTTGGAAGCGGTGGTGGAGAAGCTGCCCCCAATTTCTGCATGACCCACAAAGTCCGTCGTTGCTCCATCCGTCTCAATCAAGATATCGAGACTAACCGCTGTGGCTTGCACACTGCCATACACATTCCACGTGCCCATAGCTAGCGCTCTGGCTTTCACAGCAGACAGCTTGGTGCCTTTGGGATCACTGGTCTGAACCAGCTCGATTAGGAGATAGGCGCTTGATGATGACAGCACGTCCGTTGAAACGTCCAGTGGAAACGGCGGCAACCCCCAGCCATCGGTTGGCACCGCCTTCCCCGTAAAAGCAGGATCTTGGAGCACTGCGGCCGGGGCAACTTGTAGGGAATCGCCGGGCAGAGGATTCGCCGTGTTTGCAGAGATGCCTACCCAGAACTTGCTGGCCTTGGGAGATGCGGTGCCGGCCACGAACGCCATGAGCTGAAGGGCGGAGTTGGTCTGAAACTGCCCATAGACATAGCCCGAGGTGGTGCGTGTTGCCACTGTTTGTGGGTTACTGATATCGAAGAGGACCCCCAGGTTGGTCAGTGTGATGCTTGTTGTCAGGCTCCACGTGGGTGAGAAATGGGCCTTGAAAACGGCACGCGTTAGTTGCACAGCGGAGGAGGTGATCCAGAGGCCGCGGGCTTTGCCGTCGAGCGGAGCGGCCACACTCTGCAGGGACAACGGCGAGCTGGCTGGTGCTGGATTGGCGTCGGCCGAGCTCAGTAGGTCAGCTGGGGCCGCGAGCGCCGGGTTAAATGCGCTGTCTGCGGCTAGGAGGTTCAACGGTCCGTAAATGGCGTCTGGCAGCGTAGCAGCAAATGTTGTTAAGCTCGTGGTGGAGTCGTGTTTGATTTGCACGGCGAGTTGAAATTGTCCGCCAAATAGAGTCAAGGTTCCGCCAATTTCGCCTTTATAGTCGTATGTGGTGGTGACCCGGGACGACCTCGTCGTAATCAAGGTACCCCCCCCGCTCGCTGTTCATGCGGGCTGTGTTGTGGACGGGTGGTAGCAGTAACGTCTCTTTCGTCACGAGCTGCGCTTGCAGGGAGAAGAACAGATCACCGATCGTCAGCTGTAGCGCGTCGTTGTCGTCGTTTGCTGGTGATTTCCACAGGATACCAGACAGGAAGATCTTGACATCGACCGACGAGAGCTGCCAGTACGCTGTGGGTTGCGCATCCTTTTTGAAGATCACGGTTGCCGACAGCGGGTGCTTGACCGACTGGAGGAAGCCCTCGTAGGCTGTCATGCTCGGGGGCAGGGCATTCTGGACCAAACTGGTCGTTTTGGCGGATGCACCAGGCACAAAGAAATCAATGAGCTGGGGTCCAGTGACGACCTGTGTGGCGCCAACGCTCAGACCGAGAGTTAACTTGGAGGCGTCCTTCAGGCTGACGAGTGCGGTGGCTGTGACCGTTGTCTCGCCCATGACCACGGTGCCTTGGATGCCGAGCTCGCACTGCCAGTCGGCCGTGCTGGTGGGACGAACGGCACTGGCGGTCATGGACACGTTCCGAACCGTGATGTCGTCGTTGAGGGCCCAATCAAAGCCAGCGCGGAAGGCAAAGGAGACTTGTTTGAGATGGAAGGACTTGTCTGGGCTGCGGTGCATGACCAAGGTCGCTTCCGAGACGCAACTGGCATCGCCCGTGTTGAGCTTCGTGCTCACATCGGCATCCAGGGACGCTGTGAGGGAGGCGTAGCTGGGCGCGACTGGGAAGGCAGCGAGGAAGTCGCTGGCGCCAACGCCGTCCAGTAGATTTGCAACGCGCAGGTTGAAGGTAAAGTCAGTCTCCTGGTCGGATTGCAGGTCAGGCAGATCGCCGCTGACGATGAACACGATGTCGGCAATGGTGCACGTCGCCTCCACATAGGCACCGAGGTTCATGGCCGCTTTACAGCATGACGCGGGCATTCATTAGTCTTCCATCCAGGATGTTGACAGGGAACAAGCAGAGGAAAGAGATCTACGCACTGGTGGGACTGGAATAGCCATCAACCGCCAGCTCCAGGTACACATTGTTCAGGACAAACGAGTCCAAGATGGTCCAGTTCGCATTGAGCCTGACGGCCACGGAAGCTTGATACTGATACGTCAGGCTTGCTGTGTCATTCGCTTTGCCTGAGCCACTGTCCAGGTTGAGATAGCTTCGAGCGCTGGCGACGATCTCGGCGACAGCATCGCTCAGAGCCTTAACCTGGGTTGGCGTCACTGGGGGGCCATCGCCGTCGGTAGGAGCCAGCAGCGGCATTTTTGCTGCTTTTGTATGATAGAAGAGAGTTGAGTGTCACTCGAGCCTCATTTACAGTTACTTTGTAGTGGCGCGACCGATACTTATTGCTAAGAACTATAGAGGACTGACTCAACGGCGGTCGAGCTGTGCTTGAGACAGGAGAGGAGAGGAAGCGAAGCCTCTCGCTGGATTGCTGGATCAAGTTGCTGGACTGTCGCCTCCATGATCCATTCCATCGTGGTATCCCCGCACTCGCCCTCGGTCTAGAACAAGGAGCTGCACGGTCTGCACCAGATGTGCTAGGACCTCCGCCTCATCCCACCGTTGCGACCAGCCGCAAGCAGCGAATTTCGACGAGCTCTTGAATCCGAACCACTGTTCAAGAATCGTTTCTCAGGATTGGGCAAATCCAACCGAGTAGCTTAGCAAATGAGCCATACTGGTTTTGAATGGACGGTTGATGGACGGTTGATCTGCTGGCGTGGTGGTGATGGTGATGGTGATGGTGGCGCTTAGAGCTGAGAGTTGGCACCTTGAGCGTGGAAGAGGAAGGGGAGGACTCTCTCTCCTCTCTGTCTCTGTGCACACACGTATGTCTGTATGTCTGTCCGTGTTCTGAGAATAGCGCTGGTACTCGATCAGAACATAAATACTAACACCTAACACTTAATACTTGGCACCTAGCCCTCAGCCCTCTCGTCTCTCATCTCGCCCTTCTTCCTTCTCGGTAACCTTCCCTTGACGCGTTATCTTCCGTTCTTGTAATTGTGTCTTGTGTCTTCAAGCATGGCAGCCCCTCGATCTCCCGACTACACGATCGGCTTTCCGGCCACCTGCAACGAGGTATGCGAGCCAGCAGCCAGTCCAGATGGGCAGACTTGGCGACTTTCCTGCTTTCCTGCTTTACTGATCACCGATCACTGATTGATCATCTGGCTCCAGCCGTGGGCACAGGTCACCATGATGGATGCCAGTCACGGCGACGCGCATGTCGTCGACCTCTGCGTCGTCCAGCCTGACGCAACCAACTCCTATCCCACCACACCCGACCGCTCCTACCACCGCACCCTTCTCGATACAGGACCCCCAGGGGACGCCGTCTTCAAGAACCTCCTCAACGTTCTTATCAACTATGGTCAGCCAACGCTGACCACCACCAGTCGTACCATCAGCCTCCCTCAGGGCTGGGATGAGGGTAGAGTCGATATCTTCGAGGTAGGCCTACCGCCCACATCCTCTCGAGCCAGTCTGACATCGCCAGTTGACCCATGTGGATAATGATCATTGTGGCAATGGTAGGTCTTTGGTCTTTGGTCCTTGTCCTTGTCCTTGTCAAGCTGAGGCCTGAGGCGGGCTAGCTGTCCCCCTCATGAAACGGGTGCTAGACGATGTCACTCTCCGGAAGAGCTTCACCGCAACCAACGTGCTTTACCACCAATTCCCTCTGATGAACCCATCCTTGTCGTATGAGCTGATGCCTCGATCGGGTCCTTTTGGTAAGCAGACCCCATGCCATGCCGCTGCTGGTCCCATAAGCCTGATTACATCTCCTCTGGAGGCCCCGACCCAAATCGGATCACGATACGAGAGCATTACCCAGGCCGCGACTGGGTCGTGCAACACCAGGAGGCCGGCTTCCAGATCAAGTACCATTTCAAAGGGCATTTCATGGTCAAAGTCGATGACCCGTTCCCCGCGTGGACCGATCCTGCATTTGGGGAGAAGGTAACCCTGGACAATATCTGCCCTATCGAGATCCTCCAATACCAGTGCGCGCGGCCACCTCCATTGGCCCCCTTTGGCGCTGTGTGCGTGTCCTGCCAATTGATTCTGACCCGTACTGGCAAATTGGGTAAGCTGGGAGTCCCAAAGGCCAGAAAAGTCGCCACTGCCCATGTCGAGGTGGTCATGCCCAACTCGTTGGTGCAGAAAAACTTCTTTCTCCAACACGGCTACCGCCTGAACTTCACCACGACGAATCCAGACGAGCGGGCGGTCTTTGATAACCCCATCCCAGCCCTACCCCGACCAGACCGCTGCCGCTGAAGACCATTCGGGATTTCCAGTTGATCCGGGATCAGCTGGATGCGATCCAAAAGAATGCGGTAGCCACAGGTACCACCTGGGCTATGGCAGCCACCCCACGACAGTGGACCGAAACCGGTGAGTTTGAAAGACAGCCAGCGCAACTGCTTTGCCACTACTGACATATTCTGCTCGTCTCGCAGGGAGCTTCATTTCGTTGTACAACACCGAGCTTAAGTTGCACATCATGGGGCCTTTGCGTGAACTGTACCATGACTTCATCGGCGACTCGATGCAGGCCTTCTACGAGTCGAACGATGTGGCCACTGAAAAGCTAGATCCGGGCAACTACGACATCGCCAATCGAGCCAGCATCATCAGTCTGTTCTCCCGGCCCTCGGCCGTGCTTCCCGATACGACATTCCGTATGCTCTTTACCCGGCGATGCGTACGATCGCGATTGCAACGTGAGCGGAACTGTGGCGGCGTTTGCCGGCCGCCGGGAACCACAGACGGTTGACGTGTTAAAGGTGGCAATCCTCCCCCCTTTCTCTAGAATCTAGATCCGGACTAAGCAGGCAGGTCCCTCACCATGGCTCCGACGTCACAGCCGAGGCGGAGTTCTACCGCTATATTCGGGCTCGGGTCTACCTAATCAGTGGACAGCAAAGTCGATATGGCGCCCCAGCGCTCAAGACACTCCTCACCATCGCGGAAGGCTTTAGGCAGGATCCGGGCACCTACAGTGACAAGGTTGCCCCTCACTACCTGTTCTTCAGCGACGCTCGGACGCTTGACCCGGTTGCTGGAAGAGATAGCAATACGAAACAACTCCTCGCGTCAGCGGTGAGGCCCAACATTGACAACACGAATGGCAAGCCGATTTACAACTACCAGTGCTACCGAATCAAAAGGCAAGACGATTCCACTCGAACCGCGGGGAGAATTCTCTTTGGGGCCAATAAGGTCTTCAATGCACCTTGGGTCTGGTTTGGCGAGGCGTCGGGCGATTCCGACACAGACACGAGCCATGACTGGGTGCGGATGGGTTGATCATCGTCACATAGGGATGCCCGTTCACGGCCGGCCTTTTTCATTTGGTGGATCTACTGTGGTTTTACAAAAGTGCTGCGACAAAGTCTGTTAACAAGGCGTGATTTGTGGCCCGGTGGGTGGTGGATTATGTTACCCCTACGGCTACACATAACAACCCTAGTATAGTAATCAATGAGACTGCTGTCTGGAATGCGTTGTATGAGACTCATTGTATATGCTATGGTTGCTCTATTGTCATAGTACTCATTAGGAGCTACTCCCCTGGGCGCCTAAAGGGTGACACACAGCCACTGACAGGCACCATGAGCATGATATTAGGGCGTGGAACTACTGGCCATGAATTGGCATTTTGTATTTTTACACTGAATACGCATCTTGTCTGGACATTTTCCGCCGTAGCTAGTATGCCTCGAACGTCCTTGAAACAAAATATGCAAGGCTGGACAGACAGGTGGATGTCGAGAGCAATGGCTGGCTGAAAAATGAGCGGCTGAAATGCTGTACACACTTCTGAGAAGGTCCAAGCCCCCTCCTCACCGTTACGAGGCCTGGCTGTGACCCCTAGCTGATCAGAAACTTGGATACGGCATAGCTAAACAATCTGCAAGCCCATGAGAATGATATACGCTGATTCGTATATAAAAGACATGATTCTTCCGAGACCTTGGGCAGAAGATAAATCTTACGTTCTATTCCAAATCTAACCAAGCTTGTCTCAACAACACAAGTGTCCACTGCAACCATGCTTCCTCTTCCTCCGCCACCGAATCCCTTTCCATACACCCTTCCTATCGGGGCCTCCATCAACATCTCGTGTGAAGCCAACGCGGCCTGGCAGCAGCGCGTCACCGTCACCATACCCGGCGACGCAAGGAGCCCATACCACTTCACCGGCTCGGGTGAACCAGGAGACATGATTCTGGACAACGGGCGAGATGCCATCGAGCTGGGTCCCTTGACGACACCCAAGACCATTACCTTTTACTACGAGTTCAATTCCGGGGGTGGCTTTCAGCCGGCGGCCAGGGTTGTGGCGCCGGTCGTGAAGAGGCTGCCGTGGGGCCAGTTCGTGACCATCGCCGGTGAGGATGGGGCAGACTCGGATGAGAATGATAGCATCATCTACATCAATACCTCCAACGTGCTAGGAGACGAAACACAATCACCAGAGGATGATTATGCGGTCGGCCAGTGGATGCAGCCTGGCGCGGACGATGGGGAGGATGGAGAAGACATTCCGCGAGGTGCAAAGAAGTGGCAGAAATGCTAGGGGCATAAAAAAAGAAGTACAAGTGGCTGCGAAGGATCAAGTTCAAGTTCCCTGGACTCACTGAGGGAGCCGTTTCAGACAGACTGGCGAATTGGGCGGGTTGGGTTGGATTTCCCCTCTTGTGCGTTCAGCCCAGCAGGTATGGATTTTAAGGAGGCCTTTGTCCTCAGGCCTGTTTCCCTTTCCTAGGCCCCCATGTGACATTAGTCTCTTAGCTAGAATCTCTCGTAGCTCTCTCTAGCTAAGTACCTAATGAATCACGCATGCTCTGCATTACATTCTCCACAGCCTTGACCCAGCTCAACCCATGACCCACTAGGTTGGGACCGTTAGGTGAATTGAAACCTGCCAATCCTAATCTAATTCTGGTTGGCACCCAGGCTGGTGGCCATAGGCCCATAGTAAATCAAGGGGTCTCAGGGTCTGTGCACTTAGGGTAAGGCTGGGTGCCAGCCTCTTTATCAACAAATGCAAGAACATACCTTATCCACCAGACAGTCAGGGAGTATTCTAACTTTAGATTAAAGACATATCTATAATCTAACCTACATAGATTTTAAGGCAGACTAATACCATGGGTTAACCTAAACCCATATAGGTTGGGTCAAGCCCCTTGCCAAAACAACTCGAAATCGGCTGATTGGTGGTGTTTTCCAAGGTCCTAATAGAAGATTTGGTCTTCTCCAAGGGATGGCAGTTCCGAATCTCCACATGAGAGAACTCAAGATAGCCTTCTGGGAAAGAATGAAGGCTGCCGGGATTGGGAGTTGTTGGTGCGGCATGGGGATCGTTTGACTGTAGTCCAGTGGCAAAGACGGGAACATCACTGTGGCCGTCACGATTTCCACTTAGCTCTTGCATAGTTTGGAATTCGGCATCCGGTTCAAGCCCAACTGAAGGCACAGCAGCTAACAGCACGTCAAGATCTTTTGGCACCCCGCTGGGGCTCTGCGCGGGATCTTGTATGTCCACATCAACCTCCCGCGGCGATGATACGGGTGGACAAGTCTCGAGCTCGTCGAGGTCGATTACGCAATCCATGGGCACTCTATCCAGTCCGGGGGCAGCAGCGCAGTCTGTTGTCTCCGTATAATGTACATCTGGATGATGCAGATTGTTAAGGGGCTCTTCGGCCAGCCCAGTGAGAGAATTTGGCAGCTGAGGCGAGCTGAGCCTAACTAGTGACGCTGCTCCAGTGCATATATCAGGTGACAGGTCGTGCTCGTCACTCAATGGAGGGGCAGGAGCACTTCGCAAGCACTGCAGAGAATCTGGGGCAAGAGAAGTGCAACGTGGCACGTCTGTCACACTATCTGCATGGGAAATTTGTCGTTAGCGATATAGCAACCGTATAAACCTGTCGCCTTGGGACTTGAATGGCTTGTGAGATACAAGGGTTTGTGCGCCTGCGCTGTCCAAACATGACGTGGCAGCTGATTTTTGATGTCGTTTTCGCCTTGGGCATAACTCAGCAGAAGTCAGAATACACCATAAATTAAATAGAGGGAGAGGGTCTGCCATTTCCCGGATTTTTTCCTCACCTATGCCATGGTTGACGCTTGGGACGCGAGCACAATGTTGGATTTGACAGAGTTGAGGGGAAGATATGAGACCGTGAGGGTTACCGAAGATAGCAAGGACAAAATCATCGAGGCACGCTTCGCATACAAAGTTGCGACCTGGACTTGACTAATTGGACTCTTGAATGTAGGAACTTCTCTCTCATGTCCAAAGCCTTCAAGGGGCCCTTCAACACCAGAAGAACGAAAACCAGGACCAGAAGAAGCTGGTTCGGCTTTATAGGGAAGACGCCGATAAATGCCAGAGTGAGCTGGAAGGGAAGTCTCGTGAGGAAGTACGTTCTGTGATCGCATCTTTCCGCTTAATAACTCCATGAGTCTAGACCTGCTACTAACCACATGAGCCCAGGCGAGGTTGCAGTTTGCATCAGTACTCGTTGATGGCGACCATATGAATGTGAGCACAATATTTTCTACGATCAGTGCTTCGACTCGAACTAAATTACAGTCGATTTCGAAAACTGTTTCCCCTCAGGACACACACTCTTTGTTTCTCGGCTCGTACCCGAAACGCGCTTAATCCTAATTAGGTTAAGTGGTAAACTATTGTCCACTTATAGGTTATTATTAATTACACCCTAGCTAATTTAGGTTTAACGCCGTTCCGGGTACGGAACGAGAAACAAACAGTGTGTGTCCAGAGGGGAATCTGTTTTCGAAATCGACTGTATCGTAGTTCAGGGACGAATTTGTTCAAGATGGACAGACGGGCGGTGGCTCCGCAGCGAGAGCTCTCATGGAGGCAGTTCGAGATCATGTTCGAAAGGTCGAACCCGATGCCAGCCCAAACATCTACTACAAGATTCGGGTGTATGCAAATGTGACTGGTCTAGCAAAAACGTATCGTGATACTAGCAGTGTCACTTATGAGGGTGTACTCTCTTTTATCCAAGGGTTCAACATGGAAAATACTCTATGTGACTTTGTGGACGCAGGTAAAGGGAAGGAATGCTCTGATGTGAAGATTCGAGGTGAGATAGTGCTATCCATTACTCCAAGGGTTAAGGGGTCTCTAACATATCTCCTAGCTCTTTTCGAGCACTATTTACTCGATGTCCATTGCCAACACATAATCTTCTGTGGATCTGCGGACAACGGCTATGCCCGTGTACTGACACCCGATCGCGGATCGAACCGTATTTCACTGGTAGAGGGCCCACCATTCGCTCATGAACTGAGAGATCTAGCGTCGGACTTTGAGACAACCTCGTTCCCGGAAGTTTTTCGGTCGAAGAAGCTGTCTAGAAGCGTGTCATTTGGCGGCACAACGGCTACTCCAACACCTACGCCGCCGCGGACGCCGACTCCGAACTATGCTTCTATAGCGAGAACAGCACCTCCAATACCGGACGACAGCTCCCCGCTGGCTAATCCGCCCACGAGAACACTCACCACAAGCAGTGTAAGGTTGGTCGTTTGTAAGAATGCGAATAATCAACGGGTTGATAGCCCGTTGCAGTTCTCTACGAAGGGCAAACTTGATGTTCTCAAGCAGCACAAATTCTGCAACCAGTTTCATATATTGGGATCCTGTTCATACGGAGAGTCTTGTACTCATAAGCATGAGCCAAGACTCGTTGACCAAGATGTAATTGATCTGATGTGGATCGCCCGCTTGTCTGCCTGTCCAAAGGGCTTGCGATGTGATGATGAGAGTTTTGTCAGCGGACATCGGTGTCCGCATAGGAATTGTACGGTTAGAGGTTGCAAGTTCCCGCATGGGGTTGACACCAGAATTGTCACTCCAGTTTGATATGGTGGATTCCTCTGGCCTCAGTTTGTCATTTTCAGTTTCTTTCAACGAAGTGTCTTTGTATTCTTTCCACTTTCTATTTTTGCATCAGCTCACTTGAGTTATCCGCTCTTTTTGAGCGAAATTATTCAGTAATTCAGTCCCATAAGTTCAGGTCGGTGGATCTTCATCATATGTCCGATCTTCCTCCCAGTCACCGAACTAGAGTAACGGAAGATTATTCTTTTGCGAAGTAGTATATGGTGGAGAGGAGTAATCGATAGGGGAGATGGGATCGACGTCGATGTAGCTTATGTCGGAGGGGGAGGCGGGTAACTAACGGAAGTTGCCAGGTGTTGGTGTATATTGTGATGTATCGCCCTACGGGTCAAGCGCCATGCTTTGTTGAACGCCATAATCATCATGGTTAACGAGAGAACTGGGAGTCATTTTCTCGGGCCTACTGTAATGACAGACTAGAGGTGAGTGATTATTAGTTGAGGCTTACACTATTAGGAGCGGTTAATGGTGTTGTTCGCCTGCAAACAACCGCTAAGTGGTCAGAATGGTTGTTAGCCGCTAGTATCACTTACTGAGGCTCTCTGGGCCAAAGAGATAGCCTTATAGGTGATGACTAGCACACGCCGCGCAGGATGAGAAGGAGAACTGAAGTCGCCTAGAAGATCATCAGGTTACTCGGCACTAGGCAGCCCTCCCCATATGATTTGCAGATCCACTATAGAATTCCATGGAATTCCACCGACATTTTGCACGCAGAGTGTAATTTTCCGTCAGGGTACATACAGTACATAGCGCATTTTATTGCGCCCTCAATTTAACATGGCCGGTTCAATAAATGATCCGCGCTAACGCCTTGGCAGTGGGCCAGGAAAGAGTTTCTCAGTGTATATTGGTCAAGGCGATTTCGAGAACGACTGTACTTCTCCACACTTCTCACAATCCTGAGAACTACCCCCATGAGCCTCGACTTGATGGTTGATCTCCACTGTGCTGGCTTTTCGGTCCCACTTGGCATGTTCTCTTTGGAATCGATCGTATATGCTCACTTCGAAGGTACGGCCCTTATAGCGGAACCAATCTTCAATGGCGTTGTGAAACCGTGATATTTGCCAGTTGGCTGAGGTCAGCTGGGTAACACCCCCTTCCATTTGCAAATCCCCCCCGCTCTACCAAGGCACTCAGGTTGGGGAATATTTGCTCCAGGCATGACACATGATAGTACTTGTTCGGCTCTACGGCTCGTGAGATTCAAGATAGGCTTTTGAGGGATTGTGAGGGCTCACCGTAGTATCGACCGGAAAGGTCCTTAACATTGAAGCGAAATGCAGACCTGATATTAGGTTCTCCATTTAACTTGGTAGGAACGCAGCCCCAAGGGCGACAGTGGCTTCTGCTGCTAGGATTGTCTTGCAATATAATCACACGTTTCTGGTTGGTGAGCTCATCTTCAATGCACTTTCTTTCAAATGCGACTCGCTTGGCTGGGTCTCGTATGATCCTCTCCCACTCGCTATCGACTTCATCCCAGGGATCATTAAAGTCGGTTTCCTCCGGTAAGAGTGTGGCTGGCCGTTTATGAGAAGTCATGCTTTTGAGACAGACTTGACATAAGGCATAGATATGGTGGGATAGAGTAATAAATAGGAAGAGTTGTGCTTACTGTATGAAGGAGCGCGGGATTGTTGCATTAAGACGGGAGGGGAACACATTTATAAAAGGTCCAAGGGATCCCGTCTTTCACGTGCTGCTTATCAGAAGTCGTCGGACAATCAGTTGTCCGTACATAGATTCTCTGTGATTCATGGAATGGATGAAGAGGCCAAATCGGTTTAAAAAAGAAGTTCAAAATTATGCCAAGACGTCAAAGGCTAAATGATTCGGGAGAAGTCGCCAACCGTTCAATTACTGAGGTCATGAAACGCACAATCAGCCCCAAGCGTCATATTCGTTGAACGCAAGACTCGTATCGGGCCAACCTACTATGATACCATTTATAGCACTATTGAGTACTAGGGCATTTCTATTCACTCGTACAATGTTCGATTTCTTGCCGCATCAATTCTGTCCATTCACGGACCAGGACCTGAGACTATCATGTTTACGATGAGTCATCTCTATCTCCATATTGTTGTGATTGCGGAATTCAATCTGGCGATGTCAAAAGGTCTAATGGGTGAGATACAGCACTCGCATAACCGTCGGAGGTTTAGCCAAGCATCTGGACTGGTCCCAAAGTGAACCAACATCTTTTATTTCACTGTACGGAGACAAAGCAAGTGCACTTCGGGAAGCCCAGTCAAACAAGGCCAATTTATGACAGAAACACAGGATGGTGGAGGCATAGATGGCCCGTTAGAACTGCAGTTGACTCTGCTATGCGACTTTCTCGTGAAAGGGTCTTCGCGTTCTCGACTTCGGACCCCATGTCGGAAAGAAAGTTAGATTTGAACCGTCCATTTGTTGTGGAATCATCAACTTCCGGGCATGTTGAAATTACAGAGAGTGGTTTGCTATGGATTGGATTCCTGATGAAGCAGTCCAAAGAGTCATTGACTAATTCTGTTCCTATGCGACTGGACGGTTTCTTTGGTGATGGATTCTATTAAAGTTTTGTTTGAGAACTTTCAACGAGTACGAACGCTGTTTAGTGGAAATTCAATTAATTTATTTTTTGAGTGTATTTTTCGAAAGGCCAACCGACTGGTTGAACGCCCTTTACACCAGTCAATGAGAGGTGGTTATTATTCGTGATTGGTTCCAAGCTTCCTGGCCCTCCTGGGTCCCGTGTGTCTCCTTAACCCTGCCAACCCCCAGCTCGACATGCCCACAGAGTCAATGACGTATGCTTCTGTCTGCCACGTTTTCCCAGGCGTATTTGGTAGCTTCTCCAAGGATGAGCGGGGACTTGGCAAATCATTTTCTCTCTCGAGGCCAGAATATACCGTAAAATTAAGTAGTTACTTACCTCGGGTATTCTTTCATCATACTGTACAGCTGAGGACTTACACCGGTGCTCGAAGTTTCTCATCCTAGCTGTCTATTTACCATGGTCGCAATGACATTTGTGCATTAAAGAGTTGCTTGTGCGACAGTGTGCATGGCGCCCAGACTTTCCGCGAACTTTTTCTCTGTTCATAACCGTTCGGATTATTGCATTTCAATATTTCGCCCAATGGGTACGAGGGGACCAACGTGTGTCGAACTCGGGAGACCAGTTTTTCTTACATAGCCCATGCTCGTTCCAATCAGATACCGTCCTATTCATCATTGCCACAAGTAAGTCGGAAGAAAATTGTGGGACAGATTTGACCAAGCTGTCCGGAAATGCCGCCTTGGTTGTTTCCTCTGCGGTCCTCAATTCCGTAAGGTGGTCCATAGTCATGTTCACAGCCAAATCTCGTAGGCCCCGGTCACTCGCGGGAGTTGAGTTGTATATCTCAACGATAGCACGCGGAAATGTTTTTGAATCCAATCGCCGGAGTAGCTCTCGTTCAACTTTGGCCTTGGAGAGTACCTTCAGGCCCCTTATAAACATTCGGTCCGCGAGCGAATACATCAGTATATGAAAGGAAAGAGGATCAAATGCGGTTGTTGAATCCTCGACTGGCCCCATCATTTTATCTGGATTGTCCTGCTCAGTTTCTCCTGATTGTCGAGGAAGGGCCTTCACGAAAATATCCGTGCCCTCTGAGTCGTTGATAGCCGAGTGCTCATTTGGAGGAACGTCCTCAGGTTCTGGGTGATGATATTCCGCCTGATAATCCAGGGAGTAGAGATACTCAATCATTTGCTTAACCAAAGCCGGTTCTTCCTCTAGTATGATCGTGTTCGTGGAGGCCTCCTAGACTCAGGAAGTCAAGTAAATCTCTTGGATCCTATTTCCGCCACCTTGGCAGAGTATCTCACCTCAAAGCGACTGTCGCAAGCCTTGGCAAAAAATTCTGACCGCGTGCAGACTATACACTTGTGCACGGCGTAGACATCGTCCTCACATATGATAGTCAAATCGCTGTATTTAGAATCGACCCGCATGCTTTCCATTGTTAGAGCTTCCCAAAGACATGCGAGGGCATCTGGTACCTTGCTAGAGCGTGAAGGAGCTCTTGGCCAGCGGTGGTGTTCTGTATCTCATTCTTGGATTCACTTGTCGATTCCTGAATCCACGGGTTCTTCTCAGGTGCTTTGAGAGCAACTCGCTTATTCTTGACCATGGTGAAACTGCAAGTCTTGCCTCGGAATATTCAGTTCCCTTCTGGACTTACGAAGGAGCTCAAGGCGACATTTGGGTGGTGCGGGGAAAGGGAGCGGTTCACTGGCGAGCGCTGTTGCTATTTGAATATTTTGCTTTTCACCGGAACCTTGGGCTACCATGCATTGGCCATACACTCGCCAGACATGAGTCATGAAAGTTACCTTGTCTGGTACTGTATGTATGCCCTGAAACGAACGAAGAGAGGAAGAATTTATTTTTGTGCGCAGGGAATACCGTTGTCCAAAAACTTTATTTATGTTTTTGCTGTTAGCCAAATTTCTGTTTTTCATTCGCCAGTTTTTTTTTTATACCTTTTTTTTCTCATCCGCTGTCTCTTCTCTCCACGCTCTCATCTGATTTCCATCTTAGGCTTGGCCCTGACGCTTTTTGGCCTTATTCACTGGCTCTTTGCTCTCGAACTCGGACGTTGTCTGATTTTGGCACTCCGTGCGTACCTTATTTGTGACTTCAACTCTTCATTGCCTGCATGTTTTTCCTACGTACTTGATTGAAGCCTTCTGATTGGTCGTGCTCCTCCTGTATGACTTCGTGTTCACTACATCGTTGCTGCTTTTCTGCGCTCTGCTACGTGCCGTATTTAGGACGCGGCATGCTTATTGATAGGACTGGTGCCACGTCATTCTCATCAAGCGGGCTTTGCCATACATGAAGGCACCAAGCGTCGAACTATAAGTTCGGACCCTCCTGAGTTGCTACTATACAGCTCGGTAATTTTTTCTCGAACTTGATTCTAAGCCATATATACTCGAGAATGAAAGCGTTCAATTTCACCGAGATCAAGGACATACGGCCTTCTCTCTTAAGGCTTAGTTGCCCTCTAAGGCCCGTCGAACAAGAGAATGACAACCCGTCATCTTGATATTTTGGACGATCTAGCACGGGACCTGGAAGTACGTTCCTATGGTCTTCAAAATGCACGGAGACTGGCCAAGGGCTACGAAGATCTCGTGGTTGTGCTTATCGAACCTACCGATAAAGCTGAAGAGGAGCCATATCAAGAGATGCTAGCAGCTTCAAAGACACTGCTTTGCATTAATGAAACCCTGCAATTTCCGTCCGGTGGCGAAAGAGACATCGAAAACACTATTATTTTGGATGTCAGGGCATTTCGAAGCAATTTTATTCGAACCAGCCAAGGTCTGGAGGATTGGATCCGCGACGACGACTTGGTGTACGGCAATTTAGAGAAATTTATGAGCTGTTTACGTCCTCGCGTGGTTATTTTCTGTCAATTCGTGACAGATGAAGCGAATAACAAATTCGTGAAAGGACTTTGTTCGTCTATCAAGGAAGCCGGTGACGTATACCTCCAAACTCTCCCAAACGAACACGAATGCCTGTTCATTAAAATCTTCCATCCTATGCACTGTGAAAGATCGAAAGATGATGCGCTGAAGAGGGTTATGGATGAGTATTTACTCGAAGCCACCTTTATCATCGCGTTGAATGCACTGGCTGGTTATCGGATATCTGGCATTGGGCTCAAGAATCTCAGAAATTGTGCGCAAGATGGACCAGCTGTCATTTTTGCCCCCGAGGGAGTCTATGTCTCCTATCATTGGGTAAGTGGCGGGAATTCTGTATCGGGTAAACATTTAAAACAGTTGGAATCTATTGAGCGGCCAATTGTACGTCTCTTTCCCAGCTTACGAGATTCTTGAAGCTTACGATATAATAGGCCGAAATTGATCAGGTTCTCGCCGGATATAAGGGAACAGAATGAAGTTGTTCTTCCTTATGTGATCTACCTCTGAAAAGAGACGTACTAGACGAACTCGGAGGAAAGATTAAACCGTTACCACCAAAGCAACCCCTTGCCTGGTGATTTCATTCAAACGTCATGAAGATCGGCAGCATCTGAATGCTGATTGTTCACACATTGCGGGACAAGTGCATAAGAGATAACTTAGGGAGGTGGAGTTGTCCTGCCAGTCATGTTGCCATTTTGTGATGTCCAAACCCCACTCCCCTTAGAAGCCTAAAAGAAGTTTGAAGAAATTGGTTCCCTATTCTCAAATGACGCTCCTATTGTACCGGCAGCTTTGCCACCTGCAATTTCGACAGGTCCCCGATATGGACCATGTCCAGGACGGCAAATTTGAAAGGGCTTGGTTTGGTGCTATTTTGGTCCAAACCCTCGTGATTGGTAGTTGAGAGGCGCCTTTCCTCGTGAGTTGTTTGAAAGGTGTTTGTTGGGAGGAGATGGAGGAAGGGAGACTGTTTACTCTATGCCTGCGTGTGGATGTCGAGCAGTGCCTTGTGGCAATAGGTTCGACATCTTTGTTCCTGGTCTAATGTGTGGATTGGCAGACTCGGCGATTGTGTGACCGTTTTGTCGTGGTATTGCGAGTCTTGCGACAGCAAATGACGACAATTCCAAAAGGTAGTGACGAGAAGTCCAAGCTGTGTGGTCAGTACATACAGGTAACAATCGTACTGTGATCCACAGACGTTCTGGGAGCTCACCTCAAGCGATAGCAGCCAGACGTTCAGCGCAGTTCCCACAACTGCTATCACAGAAAGACAACCAGTGATGCAGTACATGCGATAGGACTAGTCTGTAGTTGTGGACGTAAACGGGACCCTTGTACTCCCTGCTTGGATAGCAACAAGCAAAAGGATGCCATACCCAGGTACTCAAGACACAGCACGAAGTTAATGAGAGCATAAACTGGGGTGTGACAGATGCTGCCGAAGAAGCTTGAAGTAACTTTGCTGATGCTGGAGAAAGTAGCGACAGCGAGACAATAAACATGCCCGTGTGGAAGCTTATTCGAGTTCCGCAGAAGTAAAGTCAGGCGCAAGCACTGTTCATAGAGGTCAGCATGTCTCACAAATAGGCGATATGGCTTACCTCTAATAGAGGGGAAAAATGCCGGCGATTCCCGTAAGGATTCGCCTTCCTGTTCAGCACATCAACATTTGGCAAATGGTCGAGGGACATGTTCTGACGCACCATCTTCACTGATCGTTGTCCAGCTCATTCCCACCAGGACGGCCATGACCACAAACATCAGTATTGATATGACAAGGTCAGCTCTTTGATGAGCCAGCTCGTTTCTGAGTGATCGGTGGTGCAGAGCGAGGCGGACTGAGCTTGTAGCACATACTATCGTAACAAGCGTCGCATGCACTTTGTTTGGAATATACATCTTTTATTTGCGGTCAGAAACTGCACAGCAAAGAACGTTGGTTTTTATCGGGATCAAAGTACCCTGTCCTGAAGTAAGCGAAACTTCCCAGGAGGTAATAAACCTCTTCCTTCGGCTCTCAGGAACGCTCTTTGGCAGATTATACCCATCCCAGGAGACTACATTGGTAATTAAAAGTAATTCGCAGGTACAAAAGTATGGCAAGAGCACTCGAACGCACAGAGAAGTATGGAACACGCCGAATACCTCCAAACTCTTGAGGCCATGGTCTGATCATACATTCGTTGGGCAAATATTGCGTGTGATGGCTCTTGAATACTAGCTGTATCGGCGATTCAAAACGGCTTAGTGTCGGTTTCCCTCGTCACGGCGATGCCCGAGTTTGCAAGAAGGCTCCTAAGCCTAACAGAAACAGGAGGAAATAGCCTACCTTGCACATCCGCAGGAGAGCGGAGACAAGTCGACATTAGCTTACACTACTTGAAAACTCTATAGTTGAGAACGTCAGCTAATAGTGGCTCAATACTAAGTTCACTGGAGCTATCAGACAAGACGACCGTGGGTGTACTCGGATTGCCATGCTTCTAGTCACCGTGGCCAATGAGAGAATTCGTAACAGCTTGATGGTTTTAACATAGTTAGACATACTAGTCAGAGTATAGGTAAGAATAGGTTTTCGCTTGTAATTCGTCAATATCAACGCCTGCATCTCTAAAATGATTTTTCGCAACGTGTGCTCGAGCTCCCACTTTATCGACACACCACTCAAGGAAATATCCAAAATCATCGCCAGCTTGGCCCTCTCGATTTTTCCAAACAAACCATTTCAGATAAGTCGAGAACTTGCTGATCGGATTCAGATCGGATGAATAGGGTGGCAGGTACAGCAGCACGACACCTGCTTCAGCGCACAGGTCCTTCACTCTCTCTGTATGGTGGAAAGGCGCATTATCCATGATAAGAACAGAGTTCGATTCGGGCCATCTACCGCAGTGATGAAGAAGCTGTTCAAGGAAATCCTCAAATATGCCGCGGCCCATTGATCCTTGGAAGATCCGCGATAGAAGAACCCCGTCTTGAGAGTATGCGAGCATTACATGATAGGGACATTCCTGGTCATCATTGGGAATTCGAACTGGCGTCGTTCCATGAGGGGACCAGGCCATCCGTCTGGACCCCGTCCCTTGACCAAAGCTAAGCTCGTCAATGAATACAATGTTTGCTGAAGTATATTCGGAAAGCTGATAGAAATAATGATCTCTTAAATCAGCACGTTGATCCTTGGGTATCCGTCGGCCTACTGTTTTGGGCCGTTCGCGCGATGCACGAGACCTGTCGACGACAACAACAGTGGACGAAACGTCTGTAACGTCGCCAGGATTTGGTCGCAGAACTCGAGGCGCTATGAATTTTATCATCGTGCTTTCAGTTTCATAGGAGAGATAGATGTTCCGCGCTAATCGATGATGGACCCAGTCATAGTTTATATACACTGTGGCGGCTATCGTACTTTGCGCGTCGCCCATTGAACATCACTACCATCATTATCTTGTAGAACAAATGACAGTTCTATATCCCAGCATCTAACGGGCGAAACTTGGACCTCAAAATATTGGAGAGGATATGCAATGACAAGTCAACCCTACAGCGCCAAATTACCCATGAACATAATTACTTTATCTCGCAATCTTAGCCTTGCTGCGAGCGAAATTTGGCCGCTGATGACGACCGGAATTATCGGATATTGAACTTGGACTGATTGGTTGGATCCACAGGGTATGAATGAACGCAAATTTATATTTGATGCCTTTTGGGGCCCGAATGAGTGATACGTTAAGTTCTCGAGCATTCGAAGGAGTCTTACATCAGGGAAATTCTGTCCATTTGAAGAAATGTCCAAACGCTATTGGGCCACTTCTGAGACTTATTAGCACAAGTGGGATTCGTAGACGACTAGCCAGAATAAAGCCCGTTCTTAATGTTGCCATATTTAGAAGCGCTATACGTAAGCTGATTCTGGCTTTTATCCAATATGCCAAAGCCTCTAAATGACGTGACAACCTGACATTTATGTGGTTAGTATAAGTGAAAGTATATTAACTGGGATCAAACATACAGTGCTGATCAAGCTATCGGAGCCTGTCTTGTCGCTACTACTCTCCCACTATATTGCCCCGCCGAGTCCGTTCCCTATAATATACCGAGCCTTTTTCCGTGCCACTTCGGGAGTATCAAAGCTAACCATTATTCGCTGAGCCGGATCGTAAGAATAGCTAGAACGTGTTTGCTCGATATAATTGACTGTAGAACCCTTGAGGGGTAGAGTCTTGTAATCCTATACGCCACTTTCCTAGCTACCACTTCCTACACCGCTATAACTCTTATTAGGGCTATTAGTGTCTATAAAGGACCGACTATATAGGGGCATACCTAGCATAAGCTTTTTGGTATCTATGCCCTTAGAGATATAGAATTTGACGGCCGTATCTGTATTAAATAGGGTACTGAGTGGGTTGTCGGCGGCTAGGTAAATATTAGCGTTATGCCCTGAGACGTTACTCTAGCCTCCAGAATAATCGTAGGCTATTAAGTTCCAAAGTCGATGTACTGGTCTATTTTGGGTAGATATAACCTCTGGTAGTGACTCGGACCTATTCTATCGGTTAGTATTCAATCAATATAAGATAAAAAATAATAAACTAGCTAGACAGGCGACTATTATTAAAAAGTGGTAGCCGTTTGTATAAGTTATACTATAATTATTTAAGGCCTAAGAATAGTAAGCTATATTTAAATCTTTATGATCTCTGGTTACGTATACCGCGCGGAGTTTTCTAAGTATAGTAACTATATTTTCTGCCCGAATATTATTGGCAGGATACTGTGACTAGTTTAGCGGTGATCCTATTAGTACTTAGATTCCCTGAGGAGCATACTTCCCAGTTAATATCTATACCGTTAAATCCTAAGTCCCTGATAAGATTCACAGCGGAAGAGGCGAAAGCTGCTCTACCAGTTTATATGCTAAATAAGGCCGCTAGGTTATCTAAATAACTCTAGCTACCAATAGAAAGTAGTACCTTCAAGTTGCGGTTCTTCTGCTTAAGTAATAGAAGCTACTTAATATTTCCGTACATATTGTCCTTATTCTCGTTCCACGAATCCCCGGGTATCGCTTCTCAATATTAGCCCATAAGTCTGATAAGTAGATCTCCCCAGTGTCAGGATGCACGTTGGCAAATGCATATAACACATACGTCAGGCTTTCGACGGGAAGGTCTTGTGGGTAGAATTTCCTATTATATATAGCCTTAAGTATTTTCTGTCAGTACTGAGTGCGTGACCTGGAGGCGGGATAGGGACAGACCCAGTTGACAAAATATGCTATATTGCGGTAGTAAGCGGCTGGATTCCGAGTAGTGAATGAAGTACGATTTTCTCGCGAAGCGAAGGTGCTCGCGGCAGAAACAATCGCTACGCTTGTAAAGCATACAAGACTCAGAAGGAGACTAACCTTTAAATATATAGTGATGGTTACCGGGCTGCTTCGAAGTAGATGTAAAAAGATAGGTAGAATGTATGAATGCTAAACCACGCGGGAAGATGGGTAGGCTTAAGTACCTTATAGTATAAATAGGGATAAGCTTAGTCGAAGCCCGTAAATTTTACTTAGTAACTACTTTTAGCCACTGTTTATGCGTATCGGCGAGACTTATAGATTTTTAAATTACCGCTTATTATGCTAATGCCCGGAATATATTTATTATTTACAGATCACTTTGCTTTGGGCGATGTAGCGATCTAAGTTAAGAATTTCAGTTAGCCCGAAGTGATAGTAGTCCAGATTTGGGTTGCACTATATACTTTGCCTAAAGTCGATATCCCACTGGCTCCGTCGTCGTAATACTCAATTTTAAATACTCCCCCCGTTTCTTATTGAGTACCACTGCTGCAAACCTGTCCGGACCCAGCGCAAGCTACTGTAAAATTATATTAATATCGCTGAGAGATTAATAGATTTACCACATATGTACCTAGTCCTAATTTTCTCTTGCCTCTTTTAAAGCTATTCACATGGAAGATATGGAGGAGAAGCAAACCTAGAAATGATATCGAGGTTATATTGCAAGGCTTATAGAATAAATCTTTCTCGTCATGCTGTGTTAGAGATAGTGTGCAGCCTAGAGGTGTTCCGAGCCACCAGACAATGGTGTGATCATGGGAACGTTTGGTATCTGCCTAAAGTTCCCGCTGACCAATGGACCCAAGATCCAACTATACTACTGTGTCGTCAGTTCCCCTCCCCCCTGCTTCTTCATGCATAACTTGGTACAGTATTATTTGACATAAGAGATTGCTCATCCAGTTACCTTCCTGGATGGATGTATGTAACATAACGTCATCGAGAGGTTGGCTGGTAATGTCTGATAGTTCGCACGTAGGCCGTTGACATGAACACAATATATAGGGAATTTAGTGATATCCATTTCGATTGAATGTGGGCAACTATGAAGATGACGAGCGAGCACCGTGTCTTAACATCCTTGCATTTACCCATTATTTGGAAGCTAAAGTTGGACATGGATCATCACAGATTCTGGAATATAACCTAGAACACCGAAGCTCATGGAACCGTACCTTCCGTACGTACAGGAGCATCTTTCGGGTTATTCCAACTGACCGTCTCCTTAAACTCGGTTAGGTCTTGGACGTATACTCGTAGCTTCTCTCGTTCGCCCAGACCGAGGTCCGTATTTGTCTATGAGTTTTTGAATACCCTAGACCCTGTCAGCTCGTACACTCGTGGTATTCTAGGTAACCTACTATATTGATTTCTTTACTATCCTCGGGACTAATATGGGTTCGGGTTATTTTCCGGTAGTATCCCTGAAAAGAGTTTCAGTCGGCCTTTAGAGCGCTAGCTCTCTTAACGCCTTTCTGACGAAGACTGTCCTGGCCAGGCTTTAATTTCATATAGAAGTTGAGAAATCGAAGGATATTACTAGGGTTCAGGAGACGAAGGGCATTAGCAGGATCATTCCACTTCGGTAACGCACCAGCCTCATTAGCTTTTACTCAGCAGAATCTAGGCCGTGTATTAGTGAAGTTCCGCGTTAAGTACTTCACAGTACTGATTCACTTATGCCAGAGCTGCTCGATTCGTTCCCCCCTCGTCCTCGTATTCTCCGATCTCCTATAATCAAGAGGGACATCGCGTATGTCCGTATTAGTGTCGTTATCTGGATCGTCACTGTAGTCTACCAGAGCCTAAGCGCCTGGGTGGCGCTCAGAACGCGGATGGCGAAGGCCTATGCTCAGAGATATTCGAAGGAGGAGAATAAATAACTTTATATAGACGTGATAAGAGAGTTTTAAGGCAGAGAGACTAGGTAAGAGAGAGGCGAGGCTGGAGGCAGGGTCAGGAAAGTGCGTCTGACGAGTAACCGCCACACGAGAAAGAGAATAGGGATCTAGACGTTTTATGGCCGACCTAGGCTATTATCCCCTATAGTCTCTCCGACCAATAGCGCCCTTAAAAAAAGGGGGAATATAACGGATCGCGGGAATGAACTTCGTTTCTTCTTGGGGCAGGCAGTGTCTTCCACAGAGATCAAACACTTCCTGGGAATAGTCACTTCTAAACATAGGAATTTATGATAGATTGCTACTGGCATCGACGGTTTTCCTATAGGTCCAAAGCTAAACACACACTTACACGCGCTGTTCAAGTTAACATTGACCTTTCTATTGTAACCGTTAAAACCTAGGATAAGGTACGAAAATTGCGGTCTCACGTATGTGTAGAGGTGGGTGCCGTATCGAGATAGAAAATCAGTATTAAGAACAGCTACAGCCGACTCTAGATATAAGACGTAGCGTGATTTCTCCGCGTTCAGTGGAACTCAAAAAGCTATGTGGTTCCGCTATACCGTATATACTCTATAAATCGTATTACTTTATATATATCCTTAACAAAAATGGCTTCTGGGGGCTTCTAACAAATTCTAGTACACTTAATCCTAGATAGACGACTCCTAGGCACAATATTTCTGTTCCTAGGAGTAATTAAGAGAGCTATATGTCTCCACCTCCGGCAGTTTATGCCTTAGAAAGGTGCGAGAATAATAAGTCCCAGGAGCTTAAAACCTATGGTTCTTGTCAGATAATATTAAGTTAAGGTATAAAAAGGCTAGGATTGTCCGCCTAAGTCTTCATAAATCGGAGCGCGCCTTATTCCTCGACACCCTTTTGAGAATTTATAAAGTGTTTCTCTCTATATTAGTCGATTCTCCTAATCTGTACTTTGCAAACGCTTCTGGGGGTTTATTTAGGTAGCCAAAGTATGAAGCTCCGTAAGGGAAGACCTTCACTAAATAGTTATGAGAGCCTCTGTTGTTTAAGCCTGGATTGGCTAACCCGTTTCTGATTACTCCAGACTGCTGAAACCGACACTATGGTCAACCTAAGTGGATTAGAAGGCGTTAAAAATTCGTCGGGCTCGCCTACTAACCCTATCGTGATCGAAGATGACGATACGTTTGATGTATAGGATAAGTCAGAGGAGCACAATTTAGATGCAGATACGGAGATTATGGATACGCCGGAGTTCTGGGAATGTTTGGACGAGTTTCACCGCCACGGCTTAACTGAAGAAGGCACGGTTAGGCGTTCGAGTAAAGGATTAAGGCCATCTGAAATGAGTAAAGCAGAGACTGCCGAGCTTGTTGAAGACAAGAAAGGTACGTTTCTCTTTCCAGTTAATAAGGGAGAGTTTCGCTGTGGGTTTGAAATGTTTCTAATAGCTAAAATCATTACTCTAGCGCCGACTTCTCTTCCGCAAACTGATGATAAATGCTATGTGAGGACGGAGGCCGAACTAGATATTTTACTCCCTGGCCCAGCCGTCACTTCAATCCTATCGGCGACGGCGGATGAGACTAACGAGAATACGGCCTGCGGGTGTTGTTCAGAAGGTCCAGTGAAGCGGAAAAGGAAGCCTGAAGACAGTGGTGTCTGCCGCGATGTCAGACGATCAGAGCGCTTGATGAGGAAGAATGGTTATCTGTCTGGATCTGTGCGACCATTTGAAAAAATACGTTTGTAAAATATAGCATACAATACCCTTACCTAGTTACGCGACTAGGCCCAATATCTGGTACCTGAAAATTCCGCGCTCTAAAAAGGTTATACTATATTCAATGGAATTTGGACTACTATGATATCCGCAAGCGTCATCCAGACCACAGCTACTCTCCGAGCATACGGCTGTACTTTGTAGGCTCATTCACCTATAAGACACCGAAACGTCACAGGGGTCAGGAAGCATTTTCGGGGCCAGACACAAGGAGAAGAACGGCTTGATCGCTGTCCAGCTCTCGCGCAATATCGACGACCTTTTGAATCGCGTGCGCTGTGTCAAGTCCCGTGTCGAAATTTTCGGTATCCTTCATTATCTTTAACCCGAGCCCAGACCCTCCCTGACTCCCTCGGAAGTTCTGAGAGTCAATGAGTAAAAGGGATCAGGAAACCGAGGTCCTATCACTAGCATCTCTTGTGATCGAAGTCGCCTCGGCCAATAAGTGCGATGACGTGACGGTTCCTGCTGGGCCAATGGTCGCTCGTCTGAGCCCATCATACTCACAGAATAGGCCCAGCTGAGAGTAGACAGAGAATCGTACAGGTTAACGTGCCGCGCTCCACCTACGTCATATTTGACTGGACGTCGTATGGTCCCTCCAGGATTTCCAGATAGCGTCCCACGACGCAATCTACACATGTCAATGTGCGATTGTCTATTACTCCATGATTAAGAGCATAGGGAACGTACGCAAGGTTTGGCGGTCGTGAAAGGCAGCCCGTTACGAACTAGGCGGGCGTGCAATACCCTTATAAAATAGATCGGGCATGAGAGGCCTGCAATATGGATGGAAGATATAAAGGCAGGAGTCGAGGAATCTTAATATTGTTACTCAATAGGTTAGTCGGCCCCACGTTGCATCGAGCAATGAAGCGATTAGTAACCGCCGCTTAGTGAGAGAGCAACTACTAAGCTATGCTATGTCGCCCTTAATCTATTTATATTAAATTCAGATATGTAACTTCCTTTTCATAAGGGCTAATAGCGTGCATTTCCGCAAGTTATATTAGTCTCTAAAGAGCGTACTGCAGCTATATCTATTAAGCGAATATAGCGTAAGTTCCAAAACATCGCCTCGTGCGGAAACTTAGGCCAGGGGCATATTTAAGTAGTCACCGAACTAAGGAAGACTGTCGTCGTCGGCTGTAGGAAATATAGAGCCTACGGTCTCCGGTAGAACCGGGTCGTGAAGAACGTTAAACTATCCCTGTTAACCCTACTAGCCCTGCTAGGTGTCCTGGCCTTGCGCGTTATTAGAACCGGGTAACGCAGAGAATAAGTGTATATTCTCGGTTTTATTCTTCTTCGTCCTAATTCTATCGGCAAAGGATACCGTATCATTATAAATTTCCC